AAGTAAAAGGGTTGAGCTTGTGCTCACCTGTGAGTTGTTTTTGTTTTCTCTTTAGCGTCCTCAGGGCCTCCCTGCTTCTTCGCTGCAATCAAACCCTGTCCTAATGTCGCACTGCAAACAAGCTGGTGAATTTCTATCAATAGAGAACACCTTAACAAACTGTTTTTGCTACACTCATGTATCATTTACTTTAACCCCATATTACAGGATTTCCATGAGAACTTTGGCAGATTGCGAGGGAAAATTCTTCATTTTAGCAATCTAAACCAAAGTCTAAATGGAGTTTATGTTCTCAGTCTGTTTTTATTTTATTGTTTAAATGTAGGTTCCTGTATGCATTCAAGCCTTTGTAAATTTGGGGGAAAAAATCCTGTTTCAGAAAAAAATATATATGTTGTGTATTTAAAAAGATTATCTGTTTTATTTGGCCAGTTTTTTTTTTTTTTCTGCTCTTTGAAGCGTCAACCTTTACATTTCTGCTTGCAAAATAAGCTCTATTAGTTTGTTGGTGAGATATTACACATCATCATTTATGGTATTGGCAGGCAAACATGGCAGGGATGCCTGGCAGTTGTTTTACATTGCATGTTTATTAGCGTTTTTCTAAATCCAGGTCAGAAACTTTGCTTATTACAGCTAATTCAGCTTTGCTCTTCTGTTGTTTTTATTCAGTCACTCAGTATTTTTAACTAGAAATGTATGGTTTATTTTTTGTCCTTGTTGCTTCTGCAAGACCCTGACTTCCTTGAAATCATGTATGTAGAACAAAAGAAACTATTTTAAGAGTAAATAAATAGTATTATTTAATGATCTCTTCTACATGTGTTTGCTTTCACAGAACTGTCAATTTTTAGATTAGAGTGTCAGAAACGTGCATGAAACCAGAAGGAAGAAACCTGCTGTTGTGTAGGAATTTGTAGTTCGAACAATTTGTCCTTTGCTAAATTGCCTGTTTTGGCATTGAAGTACTTCCTGAAAATCAGAAAACTGACCTGCAAAGGATTTCTGAGCCTCTAATGGTCTAAACTGTAGGCTAAACTGTCAAGGTGAAGACTGCTCAGCTGACAGATGAGCCATCACCAACACCTTCCAGAAGGGTGCTCAGTCGCAAAAGGTTACTGTTAAATAAGCTGGTTTTAAAGAGTGCTTTATCCAATAATTATAGAAAGGTAAGTGGAAGGAGAAAGTGGAATAAAATTTTTATTTCCTTTTTCACTCAGACCTCGCCCCTGCTCACACTGCAAAAGGTACCAAAAGCTGGTCCAGTGACTGGCGCTACTGTGCTTAACTCCCCAGCAAACTTAATTTTTTGGTATTATATCAAATATTCAAATTAGGAGACACTGGAGCTCCAATTTGCATTTTTTAAAGAAGGAAATAACATTTTTAGGGCTGAAACAATTGGATTAATCAATGATTGAAATAATTGTCAAGTAATTAAATAATTGAGAAATGGAGTATAGAGATGGTAAAATATGCTTTTAGCTGACAGAGCAAACCTCTTAGTGCAGTAATTATAGCAAAATTGTTAAGAAATATATATATATATATATATATATATATATATATATATATATATATAGAGAGAGAGAGAGAGAGAGAGAATCATATATATAGAATCATTTTATATTTCAGTAAAAAAAAATCCTCTATATGCTGTATCCTGAATCTTAAGTAGAACAGTTTTAGTTTCCCCTAATTTAATTTCCTAAAAAAATAATCTTTTTTAAGGAACCTTTGGCTATCTGATTATTAATCAAAAAAATAATCAACAGATTAATTAATTTGCAAAATAATCGTTAGTTGCAGCCCTACATATTCTATTCTTATTAATGATTCAGTTTCAGTTTCTGAAAACTGACAAAAAAAAATGACCTTCTCAGGATATTCCAGATTTGTTTTTTAACATCGATCTGTTAGTAAATTAATTGCTTCACTAGAATGTTAATGCATTAGTTTGTTTGTTTTTTTTATTTTGAGCATACAGGATACAATACTTATATATGTGTGAAAGTATTTTCAGTTTCCATCTTAATGAGATGTTCCAATACTTTTCCTTTATCTTCCTAAATAGTCTAGACAACTGTGAACAATTGAACTTCAGCCTCACCCAGCAATATGGCATGCCGGGTCAGGGGTCATACTGCAACACCTGCCACTAGGGGGACATATGGAGTTTCACATACAGAGCACAATGAGGCAGTGGTGCAATGCAATGCAGTCTAAGGGGCACTTTTCCTTAGACAGAAGCCCCTGCCTAGCTGGCTCTTTTCACCCCAGGGGCTGAGCATCAGCTGTATGCTAATTTATTTCAAGCAAGCAGTGGACTTGCAGTGAATGCTTTCTTGCAAGAAATTGTCTTCCTTCCTCTTGCAGATGGCTGAGTGGAGCCACTCCCAGGTTCTGCTCTGCACATTTTCTGGAAGTGATTTCCACAGCTATTCAGAGTGAGAGCTCTTTTATTTGGCACTGTTCTAAGTGCCACCATACCCTGGAATAAATAAGTAACCCAAACGTTTTGTCCTGTGCTTGTTAACTTTTTAGTTTGATGTCACAGTTAGGTATAAGATATTTTTTACACAGCATCTAAATATTCTAAACTAAATGAATAAGAGTAAATACATAAACTATAATAAAGAAAAAGTCCTGAAACTGATCAAATTACACATTTGTGTTAGAGTTTTTGTTAGTTCAAGAGCAATAATATTCACTTGGAGTAATAAAGGCCATTGTGTTTCACCTCAGGCTTAAAGCATTATATGTTTAGGGCTGTGTGAGATGAGATGGGGACATATGGTGCTAAAAGTTTCCTGACCCTCTGCTTCTCCATGTCCATCTGTTCCTTCGTCCTTCGGGGTTTACACTTCAGGCAGTCTTTTTCAGGACAGCTTTCTGTTCTACAGAGAAAAAAAAGTCCAAATGTCTCCTGACTATTAAAACATAAGTCAAGTGGGAGACACAGTTTATTCCCTTTTCTTATTATTATTACTGGCATTGCTACTGCAAATCTTTTTTGAAGGTCTTCTTTGGAAAAAGGTCAGGCTATGAATAGGAACCTATGAGGAAAGTTTTTAAAATTTCATCAGCTTTTGATGTAGGTCTGCTCTGGTTGGACCTTTACAACGCATTAGTATTTTTAATCTCAGTCATTCTGTTGTGATTCTACAGTATGTGTATGTTATAATATAGAATATATGTAATCATATTTAGGGCCCTTACCCAGATGTAATTACCCTCCACCGATCTTGCCTTGTAAAAAGTCCTCTCAGCATGTAAGTAAACTCTTTGTGTAATAATGACCTTTTGACTTTATCCCACTTCTAAAGCTTTAACACTAAAATGTTTCTGTCAAATCAGATCAGTGTGTAATGTTTAATTTACATAAAGAAAAATAATTTACATAGAGAAAAATGTCTCCCACCCCATGCATGAAGCTGTTGCAGAACTGGAGAGCTCAGCTCCTTCAGTGACAGACTGCTGCACCCTAAATGCACCAGGGAGTGTTATCACAGATCCTTCCTCCCAGCAGCTGTAAGACTCTAAAACCATCATTTTTCCCAACAACCTCAATAAGTTGTTACATTCATGCTGATTTTGCACAGTTTCTATCTTAGTCAGTTAAATGACATGCTGCTGTCATTTTGCACATCTCTGATGTTGCTGCTACTTTCAAATATCCAAATATTCAATATATTCAAATATTTTTTAACTCTTCACAATGATTTTATTCTTACACACTTTTCTAAGGTCCACATTTGTGTGACCACTTTTTTTTTCAATTTTTTTCCAACTTTTCATTGTCGTTACACAGTCAGAAGTAGGGGAGTAAATCACACCCATCATGGTGATTCGATTCAGTATCAATTTCCTTTATTTTTGATACTCAAGAATACACCACGATACGATTTGATTAGTATCGTGGTGTATTCATGTTTATTTATTTTTATTTATTTCTTTTACCTTACAGGCTAGACAATGTTTCAAATTTGACATAAATCAATAAAAGCTGTAATATCATTATGCATTTTATTTGAGAAACAAGAGCAAATAACAGAAGTAACAAAGTTGTACTCCACCTAGGCCTGTGAAAACCTAATTCTCTGAAAAATAATAATACCTCTGTGTTATAGATCCTGAAAGGCCTTGCATCAAAAAATACTGCAAGCGGAAAGGGTAGTGGCTAAATGAAGCGAGGTAGGAGGGCAAAAGAGGTTTAGCGCCACTGCAGCACAGCAGTCAGAATTACGTCCAGGAGCAAATTGATAAAAATAGACCGGATGGAAAAAAAAAACATGAATCAATACTCTTGAGGACATGATGCATCGGATCATCGGCTGTTGGATCTATGCATCATTACAAAACGATTATTATTTACACCCCTAGGCACAAGTGCAGTGCAACACAATGAACTGCCATAGTGCGGTGCCCAGGGAGCAGTGTGGGGTTAGGTCTTTGCTCAGGGACCCAGAGTGGTAATTGAACTCAGAACCTCTGGATTCCAAGCTCAATGCCCTAGGCTGCATTCCCCTAATTCCTTCTATAATCCTTTGTCTGACGGAAACACCAGAATTTCCTTATTGTGGGACAATAAAGGGATTTTTTATTCTATTCTATTTTATTCTATTCTATTCTTTTCTATTACATTCCATTCTGTTTTCTTTTTTTCCTTTCTTTTCTATTCTATTTTATTTTATTCTATTCCATTCTATCTAATGTAATCTATTATATTCCATTCCATTCTATTCTTTTCTATTTTATTTTTATTTATTTTATTCTATTATATTCTATTACATTCTATTCTATTCTAAAAAAAAAAAGAAAAAGAAAGGTTACTGAATGGTCTTGTCAAAGAGGGGTAGGCTGTCCATAATCTAGCATCCCCGCCCGGGCTCTCTTCCCATTGGTGGATTAAGGTGTCAATGCAGACGGTGCAGCCTGAAGCGGGCTGCTGATTGGTCGCTGTGCTCTTTGTTGTGTGCGCGCTCACAGCTGAGCCTGTCCGTTTGATTGTGCAGGAGATCGGAGGGGGGCTACAGGGGATCATTTCCATGGACCATCTGTCTCGCTGGTTGCGCTCACAACAAAGAAGGACCCAGGATGGTGTTAGTCCATGTCGGATATCTGGTTCTCCCCGTCTTCGGCTCAGTTAGAAATAGAGGTATGAAAAGATTTACGTTTCTAAATTTCACTCCGTCTTCACCGACGGGACATTTTCTCGGCGTCTCCTTCCTGTTAGTATCGGTAAAGATGATGTAAACAGAGCGGACACCTGCTAACTAAAATAGAAGCGACGGAGACTATCATTAGCCGTCCTGCTAGCTGCGGCACAGCTTTAAAAACGCTACAGAATCTAACAAAAAAGAACTTAACTCCGAATAAATACAGCTAAAGCCAAAGAGGGTTATGGGGCTGCTGGTTTATCTCGCTTTAGGCCTGTAAATCGCAGCTGTCAGATTTCCAGGCTTTTGTTTTGTCCTCAGTGGTTTGCGCGCTGCTGTCTGCTTTACCTGTTTATATGCGCATTTATACCAGTCCAGTTTTATCAGGATTTTCTCTTTAGCCTATTGTAGTTTAACAGGCTCCAAACACACAATAAATCTCTGTCTAAAAATAGATACAAAATAATAATAAAGCGACCCTGGGCTGTATTTCTTCTTTGTGTTCCAGTAGTGCGTTAATTTTTCGTGTTTCTGACATTAGTTCAGTTCAATTTTATTCATTGAATGTGCTTAACGAGTTATTATAAAGGAATGTGGGGCCCCATGAAAGACATTGATATTGCCCCCCCCCCCCCCCCCCCAAAAAAAATATAGATGATTAATTAATTAATC